CTTTTAGAACTACTGAACTAAAGAAACAGCAGTGCACCAACAGCTGCAGGATGTGAGATACCAGCAGTCTCAGGCATTACTAGGAGAACATGTGGCATGGCCATTTTGGAAGATGATGTGCCAGTTCTTCCCAAAGCAAAAAAGTCCAATCTATAACCCAGTAGTGTCCCTATAAATCATCTTCTTTTAGAGAAATTCTTTGAAAAACTATGTCAAAACAAAACTAGCATGTAATTATGAATAGCAGCTCTATGATGCTGATCAGATCATAAATAAGAATGTCCTCCCAGGGCTGGGGATGTGGCTCAAGTGGTAGCGTGCTCGCTTGGCATACATGCAGCCCAGGTTCGATCCTCAGCACCACATACAAACAAAGATGTTGTGTCCGCCGAAAACTAAAAAATGAATATTAAAATTCAAAAAAAAATGTCCTCCCATACCTGAATGCATAACCAACACAGAATATAAAGGAATGAACTACCACCCTACACAGAGAAATAGATAAATTCTACCTGGTACACTAAGTGAAATAAGCCAGGCTGAAGAGGCTACATGCTGTATGGTTTACCTTTTATGACATTCTAGAAAAGACAAAATTACAGAGGAAGACTTGTGCAGGATGAGGCCCAGGTGCCTCCCAGCACAGGAGTCTCCATCTACATGGAGTTGCGGTGCACCACCCTTCCTGTGGTTTTTCTCATGACCATCCTCCATCCTGAAGCTTCCCTAGAGCCCACCAAAAGTCCTTATTAAAGCACAAGCCCCTCCTAGGCCCCCAGGAGATTCTGCAGGATTTAGGAGCTCTGTGCAAATAACCAAGGTAAAAGAATCAATATTAGGACAAAAAAATGCTCCAAACACCTCTGTCACTCAGCAAATATGAAGATTTTAGGAGTGCTGCACCAGGAACTGGGTGCAGAGGCTGAATGTGTATTTCTTATTATGTCACAGCCCATAATCTGGAGCAATAATGAATTCATTGCTCATAATGGAACAATGAATTAATTATATGGCAGAAACTGGGAGCTAGATTTCCCACTGATGGGGTGAGAAGTTATGATAAACAAGGGGTGAAGGCAGAGGGATCTATGTCATAATGGGTCAGAATCCACTGATTGCAGATCAGTATAAACTCACATTTTGCTTAATACATTCACAGATGGTTCCACATAAACATAGTTATAACTAGGGGGTATGAAAAGATTAGAATACACATAAACTTCTTTGCATTGTCAGTTGTGTGGATCAAGATGCAAGATGAAATATTTTTTATACACTGTTTAAAGACCTTTATTTTATTTGTTTATTTTTATGTGGTGCTGAGGATCGAACCCAGTGCCTCACACATGCCAGATGAGTACACTGCCACTGAGTCACAACCCCAGCCCCTGCCAGATGAAAGATTTTAATATCACTCTCCAATCAAAGGAGCCATGACTCTTTGAAGAAATGGCTGATACTAAAAGTAAGACAGTAAATATATAAGTCAGGGTAATTTAAATATCAGAAAGAAAAAACTTTGGGACAAAACCAGAAAATATGTTAAAGGACAACAGGAGAGAATGGAAAGAATTCCCAATGGTTAAAGTAGGGATAAATTGAGCAGGAAAGTATTTTTTAAAAAGGGGGGGGGGGACAAAAATCAGCTTAAGCAAATTATCCAGATGACTGATATATATAAATGACTGAATACACAAACAAATGAGGTTGAGTAGAAACCTCTTGTGCAGAAGAATTCTATAGAATTGAGAGAGACACAGTCATCAAGGAGGTAGAGCTAACTCTCTGATCCCTAAGCGTGGGCTCTGCATTACGACTTCCTCCCGAAGAACAGACAATGTGGACATGCAAAAAAAGAGTAACTTCACAGTAAGAAACCTGAAAGGCCCTTCCTCAAGCAGGTGAGCACAATCAATACTACCATTTCACCTTGAGGGCATGAGATGATAGAGCTGCTTTTCATCTCAGTGACCAGCTTCCCCCAGTCCAATAGCCCCAGGCTAAATATGAGAAACACAAGGAAACCTGAAAGACACTGCCTCAGCCAGGTGAGCACAGTCAATACTAATAGGACAATAAGGACAAGAGATGACAGAGCAGCTCTTCACCTCTGTGACCTGCCTCCCCCAGACCCACAAACCCCAGTTTAAATATGAAAAAAAGGAAGATTCAAAAAAAAATTATAAAAATACCTGACAAGTCGTCCTCAATGCTCTCAAGGTCATCAGAACAAGGAAGTTCATAGAAACTGTCACCCCAAGAGAAGTCTATGGAGACATGATGACTGGATGTCATGTTGGCTCCTAGATGGGATCCTAGAACAGGAAGACACAGAACTGAGAATCCAAAGGATATGTGACTTCAGTTAATGTTAACATACCATTATTTTTTCTTCATGACAAATGGTCTAAGATGTTAACACTTTAGAGACAGCTCACCTAAGTCATAACAAGGGAAGAAACCAGGTTGAGGCTACCTGGGAAATCTCTGCACTTTCTTTTCAATTTCTGTATAAAAATAAAACTAAGCCTGGCATGGTGGCACATGCCTGTAATCTCAGCATCTTGGGAGGCTGAGGCAGGAGGATTTCGAGTTCAAAGCCAGCCTCAGCAACTTAGTGAGGCCTTAAGTAACTCTGTGAGACCCTGCCTCTAAATAAAATATAAAAAAGGGCTGGGGATGTGGCTCAATGATTAAGCGCCCCTGGATTCAATCCCCAGTACTTCCACACCAAAAAAAAAAACATTAAACTACTCTAAAGTAAAACCTTAGGACATGGTTATATTTTCTCAAACACTTACTTGTTTAATTATTCATACAGTTAATTACTGGTAACTGACACTCTTAGCTAGTTCTGTATTTTATTATGAACATTCATAACACAAAAATCAAATAGTTCAAACTAATATAAAATTCAAAGTATGTGCTTCTTTTACATATTTCATGTTGAAGTAATAACATAAGTAAACTCCTTATATTTTTATGCTTTCACTAGGTTCTAGGTTTGCCTTCTTAAAACTTTATCACTAGAGGAGAAAAAATGACATTTTAGAGATTCTATTTCAACTCCTGGTTTAACTTTCCTGAAAGAGTGACTTTATATAAAAAAAAGTCCTAATGGAAATTGACTCACTGTGACTGAATCATTTATCCCAAAGAATCCTTGTCTCTATTTTATTTCTATGCATACCTTTTTAGCAGCAATATAATCAAATATTTGTGACTGGGACAAATAGTCAAAGAAATAGTCATCTCCTCCAAGAACTCTGCAGGAAGTGGTGAGCCAAGAGAAGCAGAGGTGTCAGCTTGGTCCAGAAATTATATTACATGCTGCTGTGTTGTGAGAAAACACTCTACCTTTTAGAAATCACAAGGAGCTATGGATGTCCACACTCTTGTATGAGTCTAAATCTAGTTGAACTTCTAAGTAATTTTATTGTCACTAGCTCATCATGAAGCTAATGACAACTAAAGAATCTATGGAGCTGGGGATGTAGAAAGATTTCCTAGCATGCAGGAGTCCCTAGGACCAACACCTGGAACCACAAAAAAAAAAAAAAAAAAGAATTTGTGTCTTATTTTTTGTAATCAAATAGAAAATGAATAATCACTCCTCTAAAGGAAACATGTTGGACCTAAAACACTTGAGACTCTCAGAATCAAAATACTCTCCTTACAATGTATTTCATAGCTAGATCACCATAAACAGTGGTGTCACGTCATAAACCATGTTCACATTAAGCATACCATCAAAAAACAACAAAAAGGCTTTATTGACTGTTGATAAGAAAAATGAACATAATCTAGCTTAGAAATTATTAACACATTGGAAACATATGATACTGACATCAAAATCCTCCAGGACAAGCCAGACACTTTGACTCATGCCTGTCATCTCAGCTATTTGGGAGGATAAAGCAGAAGGATCACAAATTTGAGGCTGACATTAGCAATTCAGCTAGACCCTGTCTCAAAATGAAATTGTAACAAAGACTGGGGACATAGGTAGTTCAGGGCTTGCATAGCACAAGCAAGGCCCTGGGTTTAATCCCCAGTGCCAAAAAAAAATTCTCCAGGTGAGACATCTGACAACTATGGCAGGTACAGAACAAGGCAGAAGCCATTATGTCAACCTCCTCAAAATGATTAAAGTAAACCTGCACTTTGTTCAGCTCACAACACTAACATGTCTGATTTCTGCTTCTAATAATTCAAATGAAACCATTTAAATATGATCAAAAGTGCATGTACTTTTCTAATGAATCCAACAAATATGAGAGAGATACTCAACTGCATTCTGAAAGCCACCTTATAAGCACACAGGGGCACCAACATTAGGATACAATGTAATCATGGCATTTCCTACATGAAATACCCCTAAATACTAATAAATACATAATTTCAAAAAAAAGACAAATTTCTGAAATCAAAAGCAAATTGATACATTTTTAAATAATATTTTGAACAGAGGCAAAACACTTAAAGAGTTCTCCCACAAGAATTTCTGACAACATAAAGTATCATGCTCATTAGAAGGCCCATCCCTTTGTATGCAAGGAATAAGAGAACTTTCTGATGAATATAGAACTTTAATAGGACATATGGAAATGCTTTCTAAATTTGAAAAGAAGAAAATATCTGTTTTTTAAAAAGCTTATTTTTAGTAAATGTATCTGAATTACAAAAAAGCAGCTACTGACTTGTCTCTTACATTTTGTAATGATTTGCATCTCAGGAGATTTCATCTATAGTGGTTTTAAATATCATGAAATATCAATAGTTAACATTAAAAATATCATCATCCCTCTTCTCTTTTAAAACTGATTTGAAATTTTCTTAGAATAATTGGAAGAGGCACTTTGGTATATGTGTATATGTGTAAATACATGATCTTTTTTAAAAATTTTTATTTATTTTTAGTTGTAGTTCAACACAATACCTTTGTTTTATTTACTTATTTTTATGTGTTGCCGAGGATCAAACCCATGGCCTCGCACGTGCTAGTCGAGTGCTCTACTGCTGAGTCACAATCCCAGCCCCAATACATGATCTTTTGAAACTATACCCCTCATGCTTGAGTCCTGTCAAAGACATCTTCTGTGTGTGTGTTGCTGGGATGGACTCCATGGCCTCTCACATGCCAGGCAAGTGCTCTGCCACTGAGCTGCACACCCAGTCTCAAACATGTCTTAATAAATGGAAATTAATTAAAATCATTTGATTATGAGCCTTTCCAAACAAGACAATTCTCTCAAACAAAACAATTCTCTCAATCAAAAACAAAGTAAGCTAAAAGAAATTATTAAAATATTCCTTATTGGTGTAATCAAATAGAAAATGAATAAAAAATAGAAGTTCACAGAATTAAAAATCCTATACAGGGCTAGAGTTGTGGCGCAAAGGCAGAGCATTTGCCTGGCATGTGTTAGGCCCTGGGTTCAATCCTCAGTACCACATATAAATAAACAAAATAAATAAATAAAATAAAAAGATCCACTGACAACTAAAAAAATACTTTAAAAATTCTGTAGAAAATTGAAAGAATATTAATTAAAAATTGAATAGCAAAAACCTATTACACAGAACCAAAGGCCATGGGGAATTACATAGCAAAATAACTCTAAAATAAGAAAAATAAATCAATTAGCATACAAAAGCTTGGACTGATATGTAGAGTTCTCCCACTGGATGGGATCCTGGGATCATCAGGGCTCAAGGCTGGCTGTCATCTGCCCTTTAACAAATTCTGATTTTATTTCAAATGTTCATGATCTATAGAGAATAAAAGAGACAGAAAGGTGACTTTTCTAAATTTATTTTATGGTATGTCAAATTTTGATACTAGTCAAGATAATTCATCCAATGCAGGATGTCAGTGTTTATACAACAGATGTTATTTGTGCACCATTACAAATATAATGCCAATTAGCACAGCAGCCAGGGAGCTGCTCATCCTAGACTAGCAGGGGCAGAGTCTAGAGGAGGGGGACGGAAGGTCAGGAGGAGGGGGGGCCTGGAAAATGAGTGGGGTCTGGAGAAGAGTCAGGGTCTTAAAGAGGAGGAGGGCTGGGCTGGGGTTATGGCTCAGTGGTAGAGCACTTGCCTAGCATGTGTGAGGCACTGGGTTCAAACCTAAGCACCACATAAAAATAAATAAACAAAATAAAGGCATTGTGTCCATGTGCAACAACAAAAAAATTTTTAAAGAGGAGGGGTTAGGTCTGCAGGAGGGGCAGGACAGGAAGAAGGGAAAGATCTGGAGAAGAGACAGGGTCTGAAGGAGGGGGAGAACGAGTCACATGGGGGCAGGGCTTCACAGAGGGGTGGGACCTGAGGAAGGGACAGGCCCTGGAACATGAGTAGGACCTAGAGGAGAGGCAGGGTAGGAAAGAGGGGGAAGGGTGGTTCAGGAGGACAAGCAGGGCCATAGAATATAGGTGGGGTATAGAGGAGAGGCAGGGTCTGGAGGGGAAGGCCTTAGCAAGAGGGTCCTGGAGGGGTGGCTTCTTGCTAATTAAACTCTCCACCAAAAGAAAAACGTGTGGCTGTGGTAGCTCAGTGGTAGAGCACTTGCCTAGCATGTGTGAGGCACTGGTTTTGATCCTCACCACCACATAAAAATAAATAAATAAAATAAATGTATTGTGCCCTTCTACAACTAAAAAAAAAAAATTGAAAAAAAAAAACTAAGCAGAGATTAAAGAAAAAGAAAAATGTGGTTCATGAGTTCGGTTCCACAAAAAACAGGAGATGTATTTTTAATAAATTCTGGCTTTGTTAGAAGTAATATGTTTAAACTCAAGAGGCTCAAAAGGCTGAGGCAGAAGGATCTCAACTTCAAAACCAGCCTCAGCAAAAGCAAGGCATGAAGCACCTCAGTAAAACCCTGTCTCTATAATACAAAATAGGGCTGGAGATATGGCTCAGTGATCACATGCAACAACAACAACAAAAAAAAAAAAGATAAGTACTGAGTTCAATCCCCAGTACCCAAAAATAAAAATTTAAAAAGTTTTTTAAAATGACATAGTGGGCTGTTAACATATGTACTTTTCAATTTTTTTCTACTATTTTAACACTGCAAGAAAAAGCAAACCATTTAAAACACTAAGGAAAACAAGGAAGTGGACTGGGGTCCCCTTCCCTTAGGCTGTACATTCCTCCCTCCCTACACATTCCTCCTTCCTCTCCAGCCAGGTTCCCTAGAAACCACCCTGGGTCACTATATTAAGATGATGAGGGTCATAGCCTAAGGAAGGGTCACTGCTGCACAGGGAGCCAGGATGAAATTGTGAAGGACAGAGAGGGGCTGACAGCCAAGGATGCCCTCAGCTCTCAGGTCCAGGACAGGGTTTGCTCCTCATGCTTCCCACCATCCCCTCACCAGCTGCCAGAGCTGCCAGAAGCTTCTGAGCCATCTCTCTGAGGCTGCTCTGAGGAAAAGGGAATCACAGGTGTCCCTAGAGACATGACCCATGAGGGTCCCCATGCTACCCATCTCCTCAGGCTGCTCTGAGCAGAAAACCCCAGACTTCTCTAAAAATATAACCCATGAGGGTCCCCAAGCCAGGCATCTTCCCCAGGCTATTCAGAGGAGAAGGGAACCCCAGGCATCCAAAGAGACATAAACCACGAGGGTCCACACACCAGGCATCTCCCTCAGGCCACTCTGAGGAGAAGAAAAGCCAGGGCCTACATAGAGTTGTTACCCACAAGGCTCCCCACATCTGGCGTCTCCCTCAGGCCAATGTTAGGAGAAGGGAACCCCAGGCATCCCTAAGACATGACTCACAAAAGTCCCTAAGCCAAGAGTCCGCGCTGAGGCTGCTCTGAGAAGTGAGCTCCCTGAGCCCCTGGAGGCATGACCCACCAGAGTCCCCAACCTGGGTCTCTCTCAATCTGCTCTGAGAAGGGAGCTCTGCCCCTCCAAGTGGAGTGACCCAACACTCCCAGGAATGGGGCTCTCCCGGGTTGGTCCTGAGGGGGAAGCAGGCTCCTCACTTTCAAAAAGGCAGCATTAAAGATGGCGGCGAGGCCCCACCCCTTATTGACCACGCCCCCTTTGGCCAAACACAGCAACCCTGGCAACCCCCCCAGGCAGCTCTGAGGAGAAGGGAACCCGGGGCTACTTAGAGACGTGACCCAGGAGGCTCCCCAGGCCTGGCATATCCCTCAGGCTGCAGTAAGGATGAGGCTGCCCTGCAGTGTCCCTAGAATGTGACCCAAGAGGGTCCCCAAACCAGGCGTCTCCCTCAGGCTGCTCTGAGGAGAATGGAACCCCAGGCATCCCTAGAGACACGACTCACAAAAGTTCCTAAGCCAAGAGTCCACTGAGACTGCTCTGAGGAGAAGAGAGTTCTGTGAGTCCCTGGAGGCATGACCCATGAGAGTCCGCAACCTGGGTGTCTCTCTCAATCTGCTCTGAGAAGGGAGCTCTGCCCCTCCCTGTGGAGTGACCCAATACTCCGAGGACTGGGGCTCTCCTGGATTAGTCCTGAGGGAGGAGCCAGCTCCTCACTCTCAAGGAGGCGGCCTTAAAGATGGCGCTGAGGCCCCGCCCCTGGTTGGCCATGCCCCCTTCGGCCACGCACAGCAACCCTGGCGCACAACAACCCTAGCGTCTGCCCCAGGCCGCTCAGAGGAGAAGGGAACCCCCAGCCTAATTACAGACATGACCCCCGAGGCTCCTCAGGCCTGGCATCTCCCTCAGGCTGCTGTAAGGCTGAGGGAGCCCCCCAGTGTCCCTAGAATGTGACCCAAAATGGTCCCCACACCAGGCATCTACCTCAGGCTACTCTGAGGAGAACAGAACCCTGGGCGTCCCTAGAGACATGACCCAAGAGGGTGCCCGCACCAGGCGTCTCCCTCAGGCCACTCTGAGTTGAAGGGAGCCCCAGGCACCCCTAGAGATGTGGCCCACAAGGGTCCCCACACCAAGTGTCTCTCTCAGGCTGCTGAGGAGAAGGGAACCCCGGGCATCCCTAGAGACAAGACTCACGAAAGTCCCTAAGCCAAGAATCCACACGCTGAGGCTGCTCTGAGAAGGGAGCTCCGTGAGCCCCTGGAGGCATGACCCATGAGAGTCCACAACCTGGGTGTCTCTCTCAATCTGCTCTGAGAAGGGGGCTCTGCCACTCCCTGTGGAGTGACCCAACACTCCCAGGACTGGGGCTCTCCCGGGTTGGTCCTGAGAGGGAAGTCAGCTCCTCATTCTCAAGGAGGCAGCATTAAAGATGGCGGCAAGGCCCTGCCCCTTATTGACCACGCCCCTTTGGCCATGCGCTGTGCAGGAGCTCCTCCCAGCTCAGAGGCAGGGCCTGTCCTGGCTCCCTGGTGAATGTCAGCACCTTCTTCCACCCTCAGCAGTTAATGAATAAAATATGTTCCCACTGCTCTAACTAGGTCTGGCTGGGGCACCTGAGGAGTGAAATCTCAGAAGAGGAGAAATGGAGTCCAGGAGACCCCCTCCCTGCACTCTACCAGGCCAAGTGCTGCAGCAGCCTGAGACAGGCAGGCAGAGGCACAGAGGGAGGCAGCTACAGGGAGTCTAGACCCTAAGCCCAAGGGCAGAGGCCAGAAACAGACCACCTCAGAGGCTTCTGGGATGTGTAGTCTTTGAGACAGAGTGACTTAGCCAGGGACTGCTCCAATTCAGAATCAGGGGTTTTAAGAAAATCTGTTAATTCCCAGCCCAGGGTGACCACTGTAGGAGGGTAGAAGAACCTGAGCTCAGACCAAATTACCAGTAGCCTATGACAGCATTCTAGATCATTCAGTCTGTCCTGCCTGTCCAGCTCTCACCATGGATGCCTCTGGGAGCTTCAGGCTACACAGATTCAGGGTTCTCAGGGTTTCTGGACAGTGTAGTCTGGTGCTCTGCTCACACAGTCTTTGCCTTCAGGACAATGGAAGCTGTGTGCCATGTGCTGGCCCAGACACCCTGGAGAACCCTGGCAGTGGACTCTGGTGTTCTACCCATGCAGCCCTCACCCCAGAAGCCTAGGGGTTGCAAGTAGCACATTCACCCTCATACCACTAGGATTCTGGGTAGTGCAGTCTTGTATTCCACATTGCAGGCCAGCTGCAGAGGTCGCTGTGAGCTGCAGGCTACTCAGGCACCCCTAGCGATTCTGAACAGTGTAGACTGGCATTGTGCCCACTCAGCCCTCACTTCAGAGGTCTATGGGGGTTTCAAGTAGCACATTCACCCTCATACCCCCACCCAGGATTCTGGGTAGTGTAATCCAGTCTTCTACAATGCAGCCCCCACTGCAGAGGCCTCTAGAAATTGCAGGCTACACACTCACTCAGGCATCCCTAGGGATTCTAGACAGTGTATTCTGGTGTTCTGTCCATGCAGCATCACTACAGTGGATTCTGGGAGCTGCAAGCCCCCAAGGATCATGGGTATTATAGCCTGGGGCTATGTTCAACTGTACAGTGACTACCTAGAGCTCGGAGCCTCCAGGAATTCTGAGTATTGTAATCAGTTCTACTCAGTCAGCTCTGACCGCAGAGGTCACTGAGAGCTGTGGGCCATGATTATTCTGGGTAGTGCAATCCATCCTACCTACGTGGACTTCACCCCCATCATGGCTCTGGGATCTTTGTAGCACAAGCCTACCTAGACACCCCTGAGGAGTCTGTGTAGTGCAATACAAAGTTTGCCCCGGCGGTACTCAAAAGGAAGGTGTCTGGGAGTTACAGGCCCCCCGGGATTCTGGGTAGTATAGTATTGCCCTCTACCTCCATAGCCCTCAGTGTGGAAGCCTCTGAGAGTTCCAGGCCACATGGACACGGGGCACCTCCAAGAATTCTAGGTAGTATAGTTCAGCTCCCTACCCTGAAGCCCTCACTATTGCAGATCCTGGGAACTGCAATTCCCCCTGAGGACTCTGGATAAGGTAGTCCAGTGTTTTGCCTACATGCCCCTACTGCAAGGGCCATGAGAACTGAAGGCCACATGCTTGTCTTGGGACTGAAGACCTCACTGTGGAAGCCTCCTGGAATTGCAGGCAGCACATTCACCAGTGTGTCCCCAGGAATTGTAGGTAGTGTAGTCTGACCTGCATAATGCAGAGCTCTCACTTGGGAGGCCTCAGGGAGTTGCAGGCTGCATACTAACAGGCAACACACCCCACCAAGGATTCTGGATACTGTAGTTAAGCTCTCAGTCCAACAGTCCTCACAATGGAGGATCCTGAGAGCTACTGGCACCGAGATTTGTGGGTAATTTAGTCCTGTGTTTTTCCTACTCACTGCAGAAAATTCTGAAACTAAAGTTCCCCCTTAGGATTGTGGGTAATGCAGTTCAGTGGTTTGCCCCTCACCACAGAGGATTCTGGAAGCTGCAGTCCCTGAGGGTTCTAATAATGCAGTCTAGTGTTTGGCCTGCACAGTCCTGCTGAGGATCACAGGGGCTGAAGACCCCATGCTTTCCCTGGGACCCTGGAGATTCTAGGATGTGAGCTCTACCAACAAAACCATCACCACCAAATCCTCTGGGACTTACAGGGTTACAGGGTATGTAGGCATCCCCAGATATTCTGAGCATTGAAGTCTGGTATTCTGCCCTTACAATTCTCACCCCCAGAGGCTCCTGGGCAGAGCAGGCACCCAAAAGTAATTGGCAGCATAGTTTGATTTTTTGTCAGTACAGCCCTCTCTGCAGAGGTCTCTGCAAGCTGCAGGTCCCCAAGAATTATGGGTAGCACAGTCTGTCATTTGACCCATGCTGCCCTCCCTGCAGAAGGCTCTGGTAACTGCAATGAGGATTCTACAGTTACCCAGGATTCTGGGTAGTGCAATCCATCATAATCTTTGCATCTCTCACCCTAGAGGCTCCTGAGAGCTTCTTCCTGCATTTTCATGAGCCCTTACCCTCAGGCCCCAGTGAGATTCCAGGCGCTGGGCCCTCCCTGCACCATCTTGAGGGGGCATTTGCGTCCTCAGACACTCAAGCCATACAAAATACATTGACATACCATGATAATGAGCAGCCAAAGCCTCAGTAAGAAATACTGTTGTAAAATAAGTTCTCCTAAAATATTACCTGAGAAAGTAAAGAACAAGGCAGAACTTACTTCTCAGCCCATCAGGCAGTGCACAGGAAGCTTCTTCCTCATGTTTTCCTCACATGGACCTCAGGCATCCTGAATCCACAGTAGAGCTTCCATGGGTAGGTGCCAAGGAGAAGGAAGCTCTGGTCCTCACCACAGACATATCCACCAGGCATCCCTAGTCCATGGTATCTTTCCAGTATCTCCCCAGGATTAAAAAAAAGAAAAGAAAAAAAACCTCTGGTCTACACCTTAGATAGAGCCTCTAGGAGTCCCTAGATGTGGCATCTCTCCGGTGGGTCCCCAGGAGAAGGAAGTTTGATTAGGGCACAGAACACAGCCCCCAAAAGCAGTTGATCACAGAAAGCTGTTCTGAGTGCCCCCTGCTGGCCACTGGGGGCAGTGCAGGATGCTGGGTGTTCACTGTTCAGAGCTGCACCCCCTTGTGCTAGGCACAATGAAGCTCTTCAATTCATAGTTCTGACTATTGCAGGTCATGATTTTGGAAATTGAAAAGAAATAGAGCCTACCTCCTATGTCTTGATCACAATGGATGGAGATAGCAAGCAGCAAAGTACATGGCCCATAGACAAAATTTCATTGATTTCCTATATTTCAGCCATCATGTAGGAGAAATAGTGAAATATATAAACTGGAATAAGAAAAAATTTAAAGCATTAATATTTAAAATAGAGACCCCAAATTTGAAGTATTTACATGTAAGTATTAAAGTACAATCATACTTCAGAAATTCTTGAAATGTTTATATAGAAATCAAATGAAATATAAATAAATACAGAGATAGTCTTTGTTCAGGTCTCAATATAATTAAGGTGAAACTACCTCAAACCTGATCTGAAGATTCAGTGCATTCCAGAAATTCCCAACACGCTCTTTTTAAACCTAGACTAGACATCACTGACTTCAAAAGGACACACACTTCAAGAAGCCACACATATGGATGCCAGAACCTATCAAACTACTCTCTAGATTTTCATTTAAAATGGAAAACTGTAAAACTCTAGAAGATGTGCATGACCACATGTTTCATGATGAGGTTCTAAATACAACCCACCCCCAAATTCCATGAAAGCTATGGATGTGGCTCAGTGGTTAAGCACCCTGGGTTCAATCCCTGCTATCAAACAAACAAACAATAACAACAAGAAATCCATGAAAGAAAAACCTGATAATGTGGACTGTATTAAATTCCTCTGTAAAAAAAAAAATCATATTAAGGAAATGAAAAGACAAGTCAAACACTGGGGGAATCTTTGGAAAGTATATGTCTAAAACAAACTTGTGTAAAAAATATAGTAAGACACTCAACAATAAGACAACATAATGGGTAAAGATACGAACAGACAACTCACAAGAAAGATACAAGATGGTAAAGAAGCATAGAAATGATTCTTAGTATCACCTGTCATGAGGAAAGCACAAACTAAGACCCCAAGTGCACTGCACACCTACCGAGCTGCTAAGGTCTTTAGTAAGTGTAGTATCAACCATGAGGATGATGAACAGCCACAGGCACTCTTGTGCATTGCTGGAAGAGCACACAACAGTTCAACACTATCAAAAAACTGGGCATTTTCCCCAAAGTTAGACATGGTTTCACCACATGGTCCTAAAAATATAGACAACTGCCTCAAAAATGTATATCGAGAATACAGCACACCATTACATATAGTAGTTCTATTCACAATGCCCCAATACCTTAAGCAATCAGGATGTGCTTCAATGGGTAATAAAATAGCATAACTGCTATGAATGCATGCCATGGAGGCCCTGGTGTCTCTGAGCTCCCCCAGGTCTCTACTCTGGACTGCCTTTACCTTTTCACACCTCACAGAGGGAAAAGTGAATTCTGAATAGAAACACCTGTAAATGCAGCTGATAAACTCAGGCTCAGTATGCAGTTACTGCCTATGGAAAGAGATTAAAAAGTTCTGGATGTGGGCGGTAAACTCAGAAAAATGCAAGCACAACAACCCAGGCCTGCATCTTTGTTCATAGGAGCTTCCTGGGGAACAACAGACAAACATGGAGGCAACTTCAGGATCCCCACAGAACCACATCTAGGGGAGAACCTGGAGGTGGTTGTCATTAGGGCCCCTATGTCTCACCTCTGATTAGCTTAGAGGACATTATGCTACAGCTTCATACCTCCGTCCCAACTTTTAATTTCATCTCTTTCCCAGGTTGCAAATGCATCCTGAGCTTGGATTCTGTTGATTGATTAGCTTGTTTAATGTTGCGAAGAGAGCTATTCCACTACCTGGTCCTGATGCACAACCTCTGAAATTCACTGTTCTGGTTATTCAACATACATTTGCATATTTTAGCTAAAATACAGCCCATCATCCCATGTTTTGATCTAAAAGGATGGTTTAGCAGTTGTTGGGGTTTGCACACTCTGCCATCTGAGCAACTTTCTCTGTGTCCAGAGGCTGCAGAGGTGTTATCTGTTGT